AACAGAGAGGAAGAGCCAGAGAGGAAAGGGCCAGGTACCAGACACTCTGCAAGGTCATGTCCCCATGACCCAACCAGACACACTCAGAAATGTTCTTTGCTCATCTTCTGGGCCTCTCTCAGGCCAATGAACCATCACTCTGGCACCTGCCCAGTGTTCTCTTACCTGGGGGACTTTTCTCTGGCTCTCTCTTCCATTGGGAGTGTCTCTGAGATATAAAGAGCTACTTTACCTTTTTCAAGTTTTGCTCAAATATCAGCTTTCAGTGAGGCTATTCCAGTCATCTGAATTATCAGTGGAAGCTGACACCTGTACCTCCTATCTCCCTTAGAAGGAGGGTAGAGACCAAGTTTGGTGATTTGAGCCCACCCTCAGATTTTCTCACCTCTTCCATTCCAAACCTATTTATCTATATTTTATGCACAAAGTTAGAGGGCTCTCCTTGAGGAGAATTCTGAATCAGTTGCTGAAACGTTTCGTTTACTCTTTTTAATCTACTCAAACAACCTTGCAAAAGGTAACAGCAATAGTGGTTTCTAGTAATTTAATTTCCCTCAGCATGTACAATATAGCAGTGGTAAGCTTGCTTCTTAGTTCTAGCCCACAGCGGGGATCTGCTACGTCAGGTCGGCATTGTTTACAGAGGTGAAGTTGAATTGCACTTCAGGCTGTAAGTGAGGCTCAAAGATAGCACAAAGGAGGATGCCATTCACTCACTGGTTCGTGGGTATTTTCTGAAAAGACTCCAAAAGTTAATAACCAGGGTAATGAGAGCATTTGCTAACATAAATGTTGCAATAACACACAGAAAGAGAACAGAGGTTGCTGGGAGCAATTGCAAGAAATCTCAAGGTAATTTCAGGGTGGTTATTTTAGCAGACGTTATCAGAGACCAGAATACTGAAATGAGCTCTTCATCCTCGTGGGTATAATGCTTTTCAGAATCTATGACCATCTGAAGTCTAAGCAATTCATGATTATCCAGTCATCTGGACAGGTAAATTAGCATCTTAGGAAATATAACTTTCCACTGTTCTCTTAGAGTTGTATTAACTAGTTGTTACTTGTGTAAATGGAAATCCACTTTGGTGGTGAAGCACTTTTGGTAAAGTGTTTCCCCACGATGATCAGTAGAACACATGTTTCATTCAGGTGGAAATTTTTTTCTTTTTCTTTTTTCACTGTTATATCCCCAAGTGCTAGAATAGTGCCTTATGTACACATTAGTAACACTTGTTCAATTACTTGATGAATCTTCTTTTGATCCATCTAACATTGATTTAAAATGCAGCGTAGTCCTTAAATTATAGATGATTGAGAATGATGTCAAGATTCTATGCCATAACTTCTCAGGGATTTCATTTTGTCATCTAAGGGGTAATTCAAAAGCCTGTTAAAAAATGATTGTTAAAAGAAAGTGCAATTGGTGGTCAAAATTTCTGTAGAAACTTGTTAAGAACTCTCTTAGGTTGTTTCCCAAAAAAACACTGACATGGAATGTCATTTCATCTAGATAACATTCACCTGAAAGACAGATATTCTTCTTCTGCTTAGAGAGGAAAACAAAGATAAGCTTGAACTTTTACTCCAACCTGCTGCCTTTCATCTGGAATTGAGTTAGCTGACCACACCCATGAACCAGAAATAGGGGCATGGCTGTGGTGCAGATGATTAGATTGGAAGCCCAAACCTCAGCTAGGATGATTTTCAGCTTTTACTGGTTACATGGCTTATTTCTGTTTTAATCTTATGATGTTCCAGTTCTTCTATTTGTAAATTGCCCTTCTCCAAGGAAGCTGGGATAAAGATGCCTGCCTGTTTACTTTATGGAGCTCTTAGAAATTCCAAATAAGATGTGTTTAAAGCACTTTCTTTTTTGGCTTTTCTCCGGTACCGGGAACCGAACTCACGACCTTGCGCTTGCCAGGCAGGCGCTTTTTGCCGCTGAGCTAAATCCCCAGCCCTAAAGCACTTTCTTAATTGAAAATTTTGTGTAAATAAGTTAGAAATTTTGAGTACAGTTAAAACATCAAAAACTATGTACATATTTTTCTAATTTGACAAAAGTAGTAGTGGTTACTGACACTATAAACTCTCAAAGATAAATAAGAATAAAGAAACAATTTATAATGTCCTCAGAGCAAGAGCAACACTACCTCCAAATGTAACTATACCAAAAAGAAAGTAGTTTCTCCTGAATCAGCCAACACAGGAGATATTAATAATCAAGACAATGCATGAATGCATGTAGGGTTATGTTCTAAATTTGATCCAGATTTGAGATGACCATGCAAATGAAATGAGTTTTACTAAAGTCATATACAGAAATAAGGTCTTAAAGATGAAATCTAGATGATAGGAATTATTTAGTGGTGAGCTCTCAGCCACATTTCCTGAGGAATTATCAGAGCCATAGGTGGGGAATGCAATAATTCTTGAAGAATTGCAGCTGCTGAAATGCAGACATATGGAATTCTTGCACTCTCCAGAAATAATCTCACAATAGGCTAAACACACCTTTAAAATTTTCTCTTAACCCTAGAGAGAGGATATTGTGTAGACTGGCTGGCAAAATCTTAGTGTTTTGAAAGTTCATTTTACATCTGGTTTCCTGTGCACCCTTTAGGAGTCTGTATTTGTAGGTATCACAGTGTAGTCCTGTGCTGAATTTTTGAACACCGTATACATTAAGCATGTTGAATATTTTGACAGAAATCCACAGATTTACTTTGTACTGGTTTGGGGATATAATGAAAAACAAGATCTTTGTTGATACTGTAAACTTACCAGATAAAGTAGAACTTAATGGTCAACACATTGAAGCACTGATTTCCTTGCTTGTGTTGGAAAATAACACATTAATTAATTTTCTTTTGTTTTTGCTTTATGACAATATATTGCTTCTGTATTAGTCACTTTCCCATCACTAGGACAAAATACCCAACACTAGCAATTTAAAGGAGAGGTTTATCGTATCTCATAGTTTCAGGCCCTGGTCGGCCGGCTCTAAGGCAGAAACAGCATGGTGAAAGTGTTCGTTGGGCCGCAGCTCACTCTGTGGCAGCCAGGAAAAGGAGAGAGGGAGAGAGAGAGCAAGTGAGAGAGCAAGAGAGAGAGCAAGAGAGAAGAAAGAGAGACAGAGACAGAGAGAGACAGAGATATAGAGAGACAGAGACAGGGGAAGGGTGGAGCAGAGGATAAGAACATGACCAGAACCTACCTCTCAGCAATACATTCAGCTAGAAGCTCATGCATGGACTAATTCACTGACGAGTATCGTGCCCTCTTGAGCCAATCACTTTCCAAAAGCTTTACCTTTGAACACATGAGAATTGGAGGCAGGAGCATTTTAGAACTAAACCATAATAGTCTCATTGGAGATGTAGATAGTTTTCCCCATCAAATATTATTTTAGAGCTTCCTGAATATCCGCCATTCTGCTGAGTCCTAGGGATGTGGTGTAAAATATGACAAACATGTACCTTACCACCTGCAGCTTTCAACCTGTACTTTTCTATGTTCTGAGTTAAAATAACCCATACCTTCTGGCTGTCATTACTTAGTCCAAGGGTTTATCTGACCAAGGAATACACAGCTCAGGGGATGATGGCAGGGACCAGACAACTCACCACACAGCTAAGGAATCTTTGGCAGACATGGAGAAAGACAAGGGAGTGGGGAGAGGAAAGAGGCAGGAGCAGAGGAGACAGGAGGTAATGGTTTGGAGGTTCTATTATCTACTGTTACTCTGACGGCTTCGGAATCTTCAGGAAAAGGTTTCTTGTGTACCCTTCATGAGTGTATTTTTTTCTGAATAAAAGGTAAAGTGTAATTACTATAAGAACTTTTAAAAAATACAGAATAAAATATGGTGAAGAGAATAAAAATTGCCTTTAACTTATTACCAGGGGTAATTCTACTACTTTCAGCTGTACCTCTTCCCATGACAAATTATGTTTTTTTTACAGCCGGTTGTAGTATCCTGAACTTTGTTTTAGCACATCGAGTATTTTCTACAATATACTTCTTTTCTGTGGCTGTAACAGTATTCTGAATTAGGGAAGGGCTAAATTTATTTAACCACTTCCCTATTATTGTATAATTGTTATTTCATAGTTTCCTCATTATAAACAATGATGGTGTGAATATCCTTAGGAATAAAACTTACATGTATTACTAAGGATTTTCTTTGTATGAAGGCCAAGAAATAAGACGGCTAGGCATTTGATGCATATTATCAAAAATTTAAATTTATTTCAATACTTATTTTGTTGAACTGATTTACCTTTTTATTAATGGTCATCCTTAAAGTGTATGTCTAGTTTTTGATCTTAAGTCTACTCTAATTTTAAAGCAATTGAAACCATGTTGAATCTTTTGGCAAAAAAAAAAAAAAAAGAGTACCTAACAAGAACAAAAACTACCAGATGTAACATCAGTATGTAACTGTGGGGGAGAAATAGACCAAAAATACTAGCTAAAGTCATTTCATGTTCCTTATGCCAAAACATAAGGAATGACATTTTACATGGCATTTTTATTAAGGCAAATAAATATACTTTAAATGCAGGGCACTGGGTCTCTGCCTGCATCCTAGCATAAGTCAGTTGGCAATTGTTTACTGTGCTACGTAGGCAACATTGTAGAACAGGCTGTTTTGAGTGTTTGCTCAGTTAGTACTACTTCACTTTGACATCCTTCCTATTTGTTAAGAAAAATACTCCCACTGGTTAATGCACGCTGCAAACTGTGCAACTGATGAGGCTTTGCTCTTGTCTCTGAAGATGTACTCCTCTCTCTGCAAGCCCACAGGTTCATTTTCTCCTTCTTTTTGCAGGCAAGCACTCTGTATTATTCCCAAGTAATTCCACACTTAATGTTCTAAAGTACCAAAGGAAAATTGGTGACAGTGAAACATCTGGAAACAAATTTTTGAGTTTCTCCTAAGTTTAAAAGAAAAAAACCTTTAATCTGCCCCGTTCTCTCTCTCTCTTTCCCAGGGCTCTGTGGAGGGGGCGACCACTTCCTGTGCACCAGCGGAATCTGTATCCCCAGGAAACTGCAGTGTAATGGTTACAATGACTGTGACGACTGGAGCGATGAAACTCACTGCAGTACGTGTGGCAGGCAGTTTGGGGTCTGTCTGAGTGGACAGGGGTTTTATTCAGGAGTCTAGAAAAATAACCCTTCCCGTTGTCAAATCCTGACAACCACAAGCATTTCATAGTCCCTTTCAGTTTGCCTTTTTGAAAGAAGCCCATTTGCTTATCTCCCCCAGAGCAAGAGCAGTGTTTGCCCCCTCCCACGTCATGCTTTCGGCATGCCGTGAGGCTCATCAAGCTCAGCAGTGCCATCAAGCTCAGCAGCTACTATTCACTGGGACAGATCCCAGACTGAGGCATTTTACCATAAAGTGTCCTAAAATTGGGAGGTAGTTTTTCATTTATTCTGTTTGGGTGAGGTATCTTGGTTTTTTTTTTTTAAAGCTTCATGAAAACAATGACCACTTATTTATTTATTTGTTAAATTAAATTTAATTTAAATTTTTTGTCTTTTGGGGACAGGGTCTCGCTGTGCAGTTCAGGCTGGCCTTGAGCTCACTTTGTAGCCCAGGCAGGACTCTAACTCGCAACAGTCCAATCCTCTTGCCTCAGCCTCCCGAGTACTGCGATTACAGGTGTATGCCCCTGCACCAGGCATGACCACTTTTTAGAAGACATTTTTAGAGGAAATATTTTACCCTAATGATTCTTAATAAAACAGTGGCTTCACTGTTTTTATTTATTTAGAATGATATTCATTTTCCTTATGTATTTGTTATTAGTACCTGTTTGCAATACGTAATGATTACACTTATTGTGGGGAGTTTGTACATGAACAGAGCAAAGCTTAATTCTTTTTTGTTCCCTTCTCCAATTTTTTCTCCTGCTTCTTCTAATTTTTGATCTGTTCCCATTTGAAAAATCTCTATTTCAATTTTTTTATTTGATTTTCTCATTTTAAGAAATCCTTTTTCCCTTGCTTCTCTCCTCCTTCTATCTCTTGAAGCCACTAATCCATAGGCTCACCCTTAAATTTCCTCAGTTTACTTAACTGATTTGAATAGTTTTGATTGAATTGGCCAGTGGTTTTGTCTCATGTAGATTCAGATTTCAAGTTGTTTTGCACTTAGGCACCAGACAAAAACTTGCCTTAATAACTCAACTGTCTTACTCAAAACAGAACTATATCCAATTGTATTTAACTGCTTTTTAATGCATATATAGTTAGCTGTAGTTAGTATGGGAAGAGCTGCGTTTTACTTCTGCTGAGAATCACCAAGGCTTCGTAAGAGCCAAGGATTCCTGACCTCAGTTGGGAGATAACTTTGGTCTGTTTACCAAGTGACCTACTCTTCATCCAAGCCATTTGCCCAAACTTTGGACAGGCAATGCATTGAGGTAACATTCCATATTAGTGTTTCCTCAAATGAGGTTCCATAGTACTAGAGTCTTGAAAGATGCTTGAGGAAGAAAACAAAATAAAACAAAACAATAATAGCAGCAGCAGCAGCACATGTTGAGCAGTGTTCTTCATCTGATCTTAGTTTACAAAAAGTTCCTGAGAAATCTTGTAGTTTAGAAAAAACTATTAATTTTGTTTCACTTGGTATGTCTTCAATATTTTTTCCTCATGTAAATGGTCATTTTTCAAATGTAATTACGCATTTATTTATTTTGCATAATAACTAGGATCCTGTGGAACTGTAGTTATTCCACACTTATTTTAGGAAATGTATTCAGTAAGCCATTTACTTTTACCATCTGATATTTTCTCTTTAGCTAAACCTATGGCATGCAATTTTACATGAAAAAACATTTTTAGGATATGTATTTACACTGGGCAATATTAATATAAACTTAGCAGAAAATACTGTGAAAAATATCCACAATGGGGAATTCTGAAGGTTCATTTGAATTATAAACAATATATGGGAATTTTGGTGGAAGCTCTTGCTTATGTCTGCAGCTTGTGTTACAGCATTATTTAAATTCTGCATGTACATCCACGGTGGGTCAATGTTGGTTTCATCATTTTGTTATTTGTGGAGGACTGAGCATTGTACTTTGAACACAGTAAATGCTTTCTGCTTCAGTTTTTGAGATTAAATTTGAAGGAGACAATTTCCCTGGTCATCAACTGAACAAGAAGGTATTACCATACTGAGAGGTATTTATCAACATCTTAGGAGCTGAAAAGGCTATTAAAGAAGATAGATATAGGCTTTCCTTATGAATATACCTGCAAAATGATCTATTTGGGCCTATTGAGAAAATACATCTCCTTAGAAAAGTTCTGTATGAAAACCCATAGTGAGAAAGGTGCTTTATATGCTGTTGCTTCTGACCTCACATGAATATCTTCCAATCCTGAGTACCCAGGGTGTGCGGTGTTTCTGCAAGAGCATTTACAGAAGGCAGAACGCACACCTCTGTGGTTACCAACCTGCAGTGGAGGAATAGTGTGATTCTTAGTTTAGGCTCGCATTCAAAACTGCATGGATGTGGGCCACCCCAGGAGAAGAGGAAGAAGTTTTTTCTGAGAAATCTCAGTGAGAAGTAGAAGAAAATGCCCAGTTTGTAAGATTCTGACAGGTAGAAAGGAGGACTGCCAGAGGAGATCACGCATTTATGGATGAGGTAGAAAAATAAGCACTTGTTTACTTTTAGAAAATGGGTCAGATTAGGTAGTTTGTACTGTTTACTGACTTGTCAATTTCCTTTTTAATCTTGTTCAGAGAAGGAAAGGAAGGTAATTATTATTTGTGAGTTATTCCACTGATTGTGCTAGAAACATTTACCTGCATTGTTTGATTTAGTTATGATTACTGGAGTTATTATCTGTTCCTTTTGTATAGGTGCACAGCCTGGGCATAGGGCCCAACGCATTTTCCAGTGAGTCACAATGCTATACTTAACTTAGTCTGGACTGGTTCCAAATCTAATGCTGCTTTCTCTTGATTATGCTGCCTTTGACCTGTCCATGTAAGTTTAGATTTTGGGAATGATTATATTCTGATCATTCTTATGACAAAAAAATATTTAACTATTTGGAGTGGTCTATTATGCTTGGGGATACAATTGTCTAGCACAATTGTACTTCAGGTATCGGTGACTATTTATCGATTACCCCCCAACTAATTGTGTTTTGTCTGTCAATCTCTACTTAAGTATGCATTGAATGAAAAGATTTTTAACCACCTGGAACAACGTTGGTAGTATACTATAAAGAGTTTTGAAATTAGGAAAACTAATAATTTCTAGTTTTGCCTCTAGAGACAGGCTACATGTTTAACTCTGGCTTTCTTTAGCATCAAGGTTGAGTGTATATTAGCATTTCCAGAATATCAGCTGAATGTGCAGGGATCTGATTTAGTTTGTCCGGAAGTGGGCCTAGGCAGAAGCACTTTTGCAAAACTGCCCAGGTTATTAATCCTAACGGCAGCCAGATTATGAAGCTACTAGAGTGGAAAATATCTGTGTCCCTTTTGTTGCTAATATTCTATAATCTTCTAATTCTTCAGCAAGCTCCTACAACAGTCTGTTACATAGCAGTGCATAGCATGTGAATATATATATTCATGTGTATATATGTATACATATATATAGTGGTTCCTTGGTTCATGAACTTAATTTGTTCTACGATATTGGAAAAGATGGCCACATTTGTGTGTATGGGAAAGATGGCTGTGGTAGTGTTTGTCATCACATGCAGAGTTTGTAAACAAAAACAAAGTTTTGCTAAATGCTTCCATTTGCAAACTAAATTATCTTCAAACAAAAGCATTCGTGAACCAAGGTACCACTGTGTATAAAGAAATGATTGTCCTGGGAAAATAGCTGATGTAGAATTGCATGTCAAATACTTTTGGAAATCATTTGCCTTGAGTTTTGAGTAAAATTGGTTGACTTGTTTCTGAAGGGGGTAATTTCCTAATTATAATGAGTTATCACAATATGGCGTTTACTAGTGTAAGTGTTTGAGTCAGGGTGCCTATGTTCCTATCTTTACTATTTTCTGACTCTGAGGACTTAGTCAAGTCCTAACCCTCTTTGTGCCTCAATTTCTTCAAAGTAGAGGGGAAACAAAATTATCTCTAGAACCGAGTAACTGGACATGAAGCATGCAGAATCATATACTTCATGTGACAGCTCTCAAAGAGCATTCGGATTTACGGTTGTGATTGTTGTAACTTTTGTTATCTTCTTCTCTGTGCTCTCCCTGCACATCATCTCTTATTTTAGGGTGCAGAGGGTGACACTGGAAATCAGGGAGACAGAGAATACAGGCCAAGTGACACATGATAGGGACACTAGAGACACCAGAGTATAAATTGCAAGGCTGCAGCACATGAAGCTGTTTTAGAAAAAGGCAACCTAAACAGCACAAAATGAAAGTTGATATTCTAACTAATATTTCTAAGCCATCAAAAGTGTCTCTACCTACTGTAACCTTTCTGCTAAGGGATATAGGTAAATGCTAGAAAGATTTCCATAAAAATAATCAAAATATCTCATTATACAATAAAGAAGGAAACTTCAAATGTTTACAAAATTTACTTTCATATAATGACAACCTGCTTATACAATACTCTTGAATTCCAGCTATGTGTGAAGCATGTCCTAGGTACCTAGTGGCTAGGCATTTTAAGACTTGCTTTCTTGTTTCATGAGATTTTAGTCTAATTACAGAAATAATATATCAACAGAGAACCATTGACTATGGTATTTTGAAACAATAGTATGTGGAATGCAACAAGATTGGTGTAAACAAAAATATAGCATGCTAAATCCTATGAACAGAGATGTTAGGACCGCCAGGAGCTGCGCTGTGTAGAAAACCTGGGCCTTGTACTCAGGTGAGGCTTTATACTATAGAACAGTGGTTTACAACCCTATAGGTGACATTTTGCAATGGAGACATTTTTGACTGTCACCACTGAAGAGCTGGGGGTGACGCAATTGGCATCCAAGGGTGAGCCCAAAGATGCTGCTAAAGATCCATCCCTGACCCAACAAAGAATTACCCAGCCCAGGGATGAAGGAAAGGAGAAAAGAAAGAACAAAGGAAGGAA